TTAGCAGTCAAGTGCCTTAGGCACTATGCTACCAGAGCTCCCTGATTTGCATTAGTTTTATACAATAAATGCTTGATATAGAAATTAAGAAACAGAACACAAATGCTTCTAGGATTCCAGAGGACTAATTTTGGAACTATCTTAGTTTCAAAGATTAGACCCTAACTAACATGCTACTGTAATAGAGATCCTGAGACAGCATACTTACTTTTTAAATAAAGTTAAAAATTTCAATATTCATAAAAATACAACAGCTTTGTGTTTTCTCTACGAATAAAATTATCCTAATTCTCTAACATTGCTTTTGCATTAATGAAATCAAGGATTCTGCTTACCAAATAAGCAGCAGAAGTTCTTAGAAAATATGAGTCATGGTCAAGGCAATCAATGCTCCTCTAAAGCCAAAGACTGGTGGGAATAAGACGCAAACCTGAACTCCTGAATTTTAAAGATGTTTTCTAATAGAATCTAGTTTATCCCAACTTGAGATTTTACAATTTAACTAAAATTAACCAGAAATCATTTTAAGTGGACTTGAGGCTTAATAAGTTGATTTTTCTAAAATAAGTAAAACATTTCCCAATTGTATTTTCATTTGCCTAGAGTAAGATGCAATATAGATATAGTATATTAACTGTTTGTTATTGTTGTTGTTATGGGCCGCTGAGTCATCTCTGACTCATAGTGACCCCTCCTTGAGTTTCCAAAGGGGTATCTCTAAGAAGTAGATTGCCCAATCTTCCTTCCAAGGAGTGGCTGGTGGGTTTGAACCACCAACCTTCTGGTTAGCAGTCAAATGCCTTAGGCACTATGCCACCCAGAGGTCCTGTGTTAGATGTTCCCTATTATTTGTAATGAAATTTCCAAACCATTTTCTCCTCACTATAAAATAAGTATAAATATCCATTTTATAGATGAATGATTAAGGTACAAGAAAGGTAAAGTGATGTGGGGTATCTGAATGGAGAAAAGAAAGAAAGATGGGTTTTGGAGACAAAGGACCAGAGTTTATATGTAGTACAACCTCCCACTAGCTTTGAGCAAGTTCCTTTGGCAGCCTGGGCCTATTCCTTCAACTCTAAAATGGGGATAATACCACCCACCTCTCAAATGGTTGATTAAAGGGATAAGTAAGCAACCAGCAAAGTACCTAATACATAGTTAGCCATTCCATAAATATAGGCTTTCCCACCAATCCACAGTCTCAGTTTCTTCACCCAGTATAATGGGTATATAATCAATCTGTGAGGTAAATGAGCTAATAATACATATAGAGTGCTGGCAAGCACAGGCTAGTATCTTTGTAATCTCCCTAATATTCCCTCCCTTACCCAAGGCCCTACAGCTACTAAGTGGCTGAGCCACAATCAAATCCAAATCTTGGCTGCACTAGAGAACTGCCTCCGCATTCACATTTTATTTATGGTAGTGTCTTGTTTAACTGTAAAAGCTAATTTAATCTAGCTGCTTAATCAGTTGTTACTTCAATGTGTTCCCAGTAAATTCAGATTCTTTTCTAGGGTCACTTTCCCTTTTCATAATCACACACACACACACAAAAGTGATTACTATTTCTAAATTGAAAATGTGTATGTTTCTTAATACATATTTCTATGTACTGAAATTCTGTACTATAAATCCTTACTGATTTGGAAATAAACTAGTATATTGTGAAATGTAGTTAAAAATCTATTCCTTAGGATATTATATACCTAAGCATTTCAATAACTCCATTGAGTATACTGGATTCAAAGATACTATGTAGCCTTTTCATTTTTCCTATTTTCCCAGATAACATAACAAAATAAGGTAAAAAGTGTGGTACATAGATATAGCTATGCATAAATGAAACAGAGGAGTGAAAAATATGGACCAGATCTGCATTTGTGAGGCAATGACCTTCAAAACTGTCAGGGAGCTGTTAACAATGTTCTTCACAGGGGAGCAATTATATTACAACCCTCCTATGTATACTTTCATTTCTCATAGTCTACAAATACATTTGCTTATCAGAAAGAATAGTCTGGTGACTGTGGCAACCTTCATTGAGAAGACATAAGGCATCTTCATCACCTTAATAATCACATCCTAAATGCCAGAGCAGTTTAACTGCTGCAATATGAGAGATCAGACCAATACTTTAACAGAATTTCCTACAACTGAAATTTACTAAATGTGGCTATCATGCCCCTAATCCAGTGATTCTGGAATATCCTAAGTGATCTCCAATTATCTCAAGAGGCACTGAAATATTTTTAAAATAGATACCTTATTTAAGTTAAAATATAGCATATAACACTTTAAAGAAAAGGAGTTCAAATGATCACCAAATTATTTTTTCAAATATAGGGTACTGCAATTCCTTTAATGTTGGGAATATTGCTTTAGCCTAATAAGAATTTCACAGTTCCTTTGTATATTGCTTTCAAAGACCCAGTGCCCAGTGTTTGACAAATCAGAATATGTGTATGTGCATGCAAACACACGCGCACGCACACACACACTTTACAGAAATGTAAAAGGGTTTGGAAAGTTGCTAAGAAAAACTCAATCTCTAAATGCTCCAGAAAGCTATATGCACAAAACATTACTTTCACATAAAATGTTTTTTTACATTTTCCCACGTGGGTAAAAACAAAAGCAATTCACAGTAGTGGTGCCAAAGAGTGACAATATTACATATACTTTAGAATGCTATGTTTTTAGTTAGATGCCATGCAAGAATCACAATTCACACTTACTACAGTATGACATGTACCACCAACCTTAACTTAAAAAAAAAAAAAAACTGTCCTAAATGCGTTAATAACATATTAAATTGTAATAACATAAGACCAGCAGGAAAAGAAACACAACCATAGGTGGATATAACAAGCATAAATACAATAAGTAAATAATCTTTTTCGCAAAGATAATGAAAAATATTCACAACTATAATACCAGTCAACCAACTTCAAAGGTTCCATTAACTGGGAAATATAACTAGTTACATTACTATGATTCCTAAAAACACAAGGTTATTCAGTATATCTAGTGGAGTGGTGATATGAATTGTGTTTCATATGTACTCTATACTTTAGCAAAAGTTAATGACCTGCTCAGAATTTTTATTTCACCATTTACCCCAAAAAGTATTTTGAAGAAAAAAAAGTATTTTGAAGACTTGAGAAGTCTAAACTTCACACTGCCCTTGAAATGCTATTGTGCAAAACCTTTAGTTTTTAAAACAAAAGAATAAAGATTTTACAGGCTCTTGATAATGTAATCAAATGCTGAAGATGTCAACCTCAATGTTTTCCTCTCCCCGTCCAAAAAAAAAAAAAAAAACCCAACTGTGTATGGCACATAAAGATACAATGGAAACAAAAAGGATCAAGATACTCATTCAGTAAGGAAAAAATACATCTCTCTGTCAACTACAAGAATTCTTTCACTTGATGGCTAGCATCTTTATGACTGCTTGATCTGTATTTAAGTGGCCTTTAAAAGAGATTCTGTGCTCTTCTTTCTTTACCCTCATGGACCTTTGGCAGCAGTCAGCACTTATGTCCAGAGCTGGGGTTGGGGGAGGGCGGGGAGGAAGAGTGGAGAGAAAGCTGAACTGAGCACCGAGTCAGCGGAGAGCAGCTGCTCTCATACACTACCCATCGTCTTTCTCCTACACCGCTATTTTCCTCTATTGAGCATTGTCAGCAAAAAAATAAATAAATAAGGGGCGGGGGGGACGACGACGAGAGGGAGACAAAGAGGGTAGGACTCAGGCCAACAGTTTTTGTCTGCCACATCTGAGCTGAGAAGCCCCTTCTGGTTTCTTGCAGCAAAGCAAGGGATCAGGTGAGACCCCTCCGGGTCCAACTCAATTGTGCTTCTCCAGAAAGAGGAGTTTCCGGCTTTGAGCGCAGGATCCTCCTGACTGATGAACTAAACACCGGAGCATTGTTGATGTTTTCCATCTCTGACTTTACAAAGAAGGAGAGGGCTGTGACTGCTGTCTACTACTCTTTACGTGCTACACAGCAGTAGTGAAGGAACATAAGCAAGGGGTTGTACAAATCCCTTAAAAAAAAAAAAAAAAAAAACAGGTTCTGAAGAAATGCTGTGCAGCATTATTGTATTGGCGTTTTTTGTTTTGTTTTTGTAAGTCACCGATTCTTTCTCGCCATCTCCAAGCCCCAAATCGCTGAGACTTGTTGCTATTTCTTGACCCCACACCCCCCGCCCCCCGAACTGCCCAACACGATATGGTTTGGGGAGAGAAAGGCGGGAGAGGGGCCTAAATCTTTAAAGCCCAGAGGGCTGGGTTCCCTTCCATAGATAGGCCACTCTGCATGGGCTGCGCGTTCAGTAATACCTTCAGAGAGCTCTGACTCACAAATGCTGGAGGGAGGAAATTATGACATAAACCATTATTATCCCTCCAACCAAAGAGAGATAAGAAAAGCTGGCCAGCAATCCTTGCCCCGCAGGCGAGCCTGAGCCTGAGACCCCCGACGGGGCGGCCGGAGTACTAGCCACTCGCCCAGCTCGCCTCCCTCAGAACTCCCGGGAAGATGCTCCCCACGCGGGCTGGATTGAGGGGAGGACCGAGCACCCCTCACCATGAGAGATGGGAAGGCAGGAGTTGGGGTCCGGGACGCGAGTGTCGCCCCGCGGCGGCGCTGAGCGCTGGGTACCCGGCTCGCGGCAGGGGCTCCAACGGAGGCGCCCTGCACCGGGAACGTCCGCCGCAGCCCAGGCGGACAAAGCGCGAAGCTGGGGCTGGGGCGATCCCTGGGCGGCGGCCGCGGGCCAAGTTGCCCCGAGTCGGGGAGCAAGGGGTCCCGCGGGCGGGGCGGCGCGATGCTGACCTGGATGGTGCAGGTGTACTCGCTGTCGTCCAGCAGCCGCACGGTGCAGCTGTACTCGCGCTCCAGGCTCCTGCTGCTGCCGCTCATCAACCTGCTCAGCATCTTCCCACCCGCTCGCCCGCCCCCGGGAGCGACGCGGCGGCGCTGCAGACCCCGAAACAGGCGCCCCTCAGCCGGGCAGCTCCGCGCCGGCCCCGAGCACCTGCATCATCACCCCAGCCCGCCGCCGCCGCCGCCGCCGCTGCCTCCTGCCGGTCCCGCCCCTCCTCCTTCTCCTCCTCCTTCTCAGCCGCCACCGCCTCCCCCCAGCCCAGAACAAGCGCCCGGCTCTCTCCTCCGCGCCCCACAGCCCGTGCCCAGCTCGTGGGGCGGGGCCTCAGTGGGAGGGGGGTCCAATGGGGGTCAGCGCGGCAGAACCGAGTGGCAGACGGAAAAGCCAATCGGGATGGGGCACTGCGATGATGGGCAGGTTGGGCACGCAATCGCGGGGAAGCAGTCGGACCGAGCCCAGAGAGACCTGCTCTCTGGCATCCCAAACTGCGGGCTCCTCTTTTCTCCGCGGTTCGAGTGGCGGCTGTTTCTCCTTCCCCGTGCCAGGTGAGGGCACCCTGCTGGATTTATGTCGGCTGCCTGGAAGACGCTGGGGTCTGCTGCAGGGGGCCATGTCTCCCTCCACTCTGCAACACTGTGGTTCCCGCCCTCTGGAGAGCCCGGCGACGAGATCACAATCCCTGTACCTGCAGAGTTCGGGCGCCTCCTGCTCCGCACTAGGAAGCTGCCCCCACCTGCGCTGCATCCCACGTCTGTCCGGCAGACCTCCGTCTTCCATCCTTCTCATTGTGGGGGAATATCTGCTTTACAAGAGCTGTTTAAATTAAAGCTTCATGGTCCTTAGAGCTTCTTAAGCACCTGGGTTTACCTCCTAGAAAATCTTCCACTCTAACACTCCTTGCCACCTTTTATATTCATAAGACAAAAGAGAGAGGCTGAGGCATGCTCCATCAGCTGGTATGGAGCAGAGGGAACGATGGATCCTTTCCTTGAAGCTTTAGAACTATAATTACATCTTCAGACTTTATCAACAGAACACCACGGAATGTCAGGAGATAAACATTACAAAGAAAAGAATTGTCTCTTGCTCTTCGTGACTCCCCATCTAAAGACTTCAAAATTCTTTATAAAAACTTCACTAAGAGACATAATATCCTCCCTCAACGATTCTAGTTTAACCTCTCAGAATTTTGATGGGAGAAAATGTAAAAGAATCATATCAACACAAAACACTGATGTTGTAATAAGTACATTAATTTAAAATGATAAAATATACATAATTCTTATTACATTTGTTTACACCTGTTTATAGGTATATAAGGAGCGCTCTAGTGGCGTAGTGCCTAAGGCATTTGACTGCTAACTGGAAGGATGGTGGTTCAAACCCACCAGCCACTCCTCCGAAGGAAGATTGGGCAATCTACTTTCATAGTGATACCACCTTGGAAACCCAAGGAGGGGTCGCTATGAGTCTGATCAACAGGGCAGTGAGGTGTTTTTTGTTTGTTTTGTTTTGTTTTTTTGGTTTATAGATATATAACATTAAGAATTCGGAAGGAAGGTTGGGCAATCCTACTTCCGTAGTGATACTGCCTCGGAAACCCAATGAGGGGTCGCTATGAGTCGGGGCCGACTCGATGGCACATAACAACAACAACAACAACAACATTAAGAAAAATAAAACCCTTCATTAGTCTAGAAAAACATCCAACCTTTGCAACATGCTTCTTCTCTAGGGTCTTTACAGTCTGGGTGGGTTTTTCTTTTGTCTGTTTTGTTTTGTTGCCTAATTTTTTTGCATGACTTTTTTCCCCCCTCTCTGCAATTATCCCCTCAGTAACCTGGATTATTCTCCTTTTTATAGCTGCATTCTTCCTTGTGATATTTAATAAGGACAGGAGCAGGTTACTCTTCTAAATGAAATCCTGATGGAATTAATTATGAGACTAAAACTAGTGAGTCAGATGTTTTATCCATAAAAGCTAGGCATGCACTCCACTACTTTGTAGTTCCAGAAGGTAGCCTGGTACCTGTAACATAATACCCAAACAGACCAGCTGCTGTCAAATAGACTCTGACACGAAACAACCTCATGTGTGCAGAACTGCATACATAGGGTTTTGGGGTTTTTTTCAACCTATCTAGGAAGTTAGGCTCTCCTCCCCTCCCATCCCTGGTAACCAACAAAGAAAGTTTCCTTCCATGTGTAAACTTTTCCTTGAGTTTTTACAATAGTCAACTAATACAATATTTATCCTACTGTGATTGACTTATTTCACTCAGCATAATGTCCTCCAAGTTCTTCCATATTTTGCGGTGTTTTGCAGATTCTACATTATTCTTTAGGGTTGCATAGTATTCCATTGTGTGTGCATGCACAGTATGTTTATCCATTCCTTGGCTGATGGCCACTTAGGTTGTCTCCATCTCTTTGCTACTGTGACCAGTGCTGTATTGAACATTGGTGTGCATATATCTGTTCCTGTCTTGCTTCTCACTACTTTAGGATATATACCTAGTAACAGGATTGCTGGATCAGATGATACTTCTATTTCCAACTTTTTTAGGAATCGCCATACCGATTTTCATAGTGGCTGTATCTTTTTATAGTCCCACCAACAGTGTATGAGAGTCCCGATCTCTCCACATCCTTGCCAGCATTTATTATTTTCTGTGTTGTTGAACTTTTCTATTAATGCTGGGGTAAGATGGTATCTCATAGTTGTTTTGATTTGCATCTCTCTAATAGCTAATGAGCATGAACATTTCTTCATGTGTTTGTGGGCTGCCTGAATATCTCCTTTGGTGAGATGTCTGTTCATGTCTTCTGCCCATTTATTAACTGGATTGTTTGTCTTTGATGTTGAGGTGTTGGAGTTTTCTATAAATTTTAAAGATAAGTCTTTTGTCCTATATGTTACTGCCAACTTCATAGGCTTTTCAAGGCTGTGACCTTTCAGAAGCAGATTACCAGGGCTTGCTTTCTAGGTAGGTGGGTTTAACCATTTGCACCATCCAGGGACTCCTGCAACCTATCAGGTATTCAGTAATCTTTGTTGTGCTGAAGTGAATGGAATTAATAGTGTGGTAGTTATGATTGTGTTGTCAACTTGGCTGGGCCTGGTTGAGTGGCTGGGCAGCTGATGGTAGTTATTCCCCATGATGAGACTGGCAATCAACTCCATGGTGGGATCTACCACAAGCAGCTGAGCATGGTCTCTAGCCTTTGGCATGCTTGAACCCTGCATGTAGCTGTGTCATTGCTCAGCAGCCTGCCATGCTCTGCCGACCTTGGGACTTAAAATGGACTTAAACTAATGGCCTGCCATGTGGTCTGGTAATATCAGGACTGTGCCTTTTTACTTGTCAACCTTGGGGCTTCTCAGCCTCAGCAGCCAGCGGCTGTCTGAGTGAAGAAATGCCTCTAGTTCCAGTGGGCTGGGAGCAGGAGGCAGAGCTGGACCCCAAGGTTGAGGGGCTTTCACCCAGCCCCTAGAGCCTGGCACTCTGAACTTGGACTTAAAGCCTCCAAATTGTAAGAATAAACTCCTGTTTGTTAAGGCCATCCCATTTGTGATATATTTCTTGTCAGAGAAGCACTAGGTAACCAGAACAGAATTTGGTACCAAGAGAGTGGGGTGCTGCTCTGACAGATACCTAAAATGTGGAAACAGAAGTGGAGTGCATCCTTGACCCGACAACATGGCTGAGAGACCCCGTCATAAGGCATGACAGACGGTAGGACAGACGTCAAGAGACCGGCATGAGAGACGGCAGGAGCAGAGCTGAGAGAACCGGCATGAGACAGCGACAGCCTTACCAGCCCATGGAGGAGAAAGCCTGATGCCTTTGGTTAGGCAGCTTACTGGTGGAGTGGGTTGCCTTCAGGCATTAATTGGTAGAAAAGATCAGCATGAAATGGAGCAGCAGGTTGGCCGGCCCATGGAGCAAAAAAGTCGAGTGCTTTTTGGGCAAGGTTTTTCAGCGGAGTGGGTTGCCTTCGGCATTAATCAGCAGAAGCCAAGAGACTAAGAAAACGGAAGCAGAGCTGCCTCAGCCTTAAGGGTAGGACCATGGCCTTTGGGGGTGGAACGATCACAGCCCCTAGGTTTCAAAGGGTCAGACCTTCACCAACTTGGTTCTGGAGTGTGGGGCTGCTCGTTCATGTGAGCCAGTGGGATGGAGCCATAGCCGCTGCCCAAGAGTGAGGGGCGGGGCTGCCATGCCCAAGAGGGAGAGGAATGGGCCGCCAGGCCAAGGGGATGAGGTTGCCACTTAGAGGAACTAGGGGACTGGAGCCACCCAGTTGAAGAGACCTGTACAGATTCCACCCACTGAAGATCTGTACAGGTGCCAAGTTGACAAGGGGTGGAATTGTGGTAGTCATGTGTGTCAGCTTGGCTGGGCCTGGTTGAGTGGCTGGGCAGCTGGTGGTAGTTATTCCCCAT